TATGGCTAATGTGTTCATTTTAAGAAAATTATTTTCCAGAACTATTTCTGTAATATTTGTGTGAACACCAAAAATATCAAGAGTATTAATATATTTCTCGAATTGTTTGACTGTATAATAATTTTGCTCAATGTATACATTTCTATGCAGTGTTTCCACATCACATCAAAGGAACAATCTGTTTCGATATTTAAACAGGGTTCTTGTTTAAACTTTTTTTTAACAGGTTTTGAATATTCTAATTTTTTATACTCGATATTGAAATATTTCCAGAAATGCTCATACAAATGATAATGTTATTGCAACCACATTATTCTCGGAAAGACTTACAACAACAGGATTAATTTTTTTGTTTAACTATTCAATTGAGTAATTTCCTTGTTCCACATTAACTATTATGCCACCAATTATTATTGTATAATCTGTTTTAATTCTGATTAAATTATACTTTATACCAGTAAATGTTAAAACCTTAAGACCTAGTAAAAAATGACCAGTATTAACTAAAGGCTGTTCCAAGCATATACTCTACTTTTTATTAAAACCATCTGTTATTTATAATATAATATTATAAATGGAAACAAACCGATTACCGGCTTAAGCATATTTAATTCGAGTGATAACGAACGTAGGTTTTGAGTGACTTCTTGTGATATTTGCGTGGTTTAATAAAATAAAAAAACATACATGGATAACAGAAAGTCGTTGCACACTCGGTTAAGAAGTTAGGTTTGATTGCTTTCATAGCTAGATTGAAAGTGGAGGGGGGAGTGTAGTCCTGGTAATTGTGGCGTTCTGGGCGACTAGTCATTAATATTACGCGGTAGGGCACACATTATCACCTCGGCACAGCCAACCTTAGTATCAATGATATTAATGTTTACGCTCCTTCGATTAGAATAGAAATATCTTGACTAAAACTGAGTAGGCGCTACGAATCTCAGCCAAAAAATAAAGCACCCCACGATAACCATACAGATACCTGTAAAAAAGTGTAAGATTAAAAAAGATCAAAAGCTGAGCCCAGCTCAGGTGTCCGTATGGTTGGGGGTAAAATATTGCAAATTTCTTTTTTGCAAATTGTTTTGCAAATTTTTGCAAAAAAAATTAAATGGAAAAAAATATATATTCAATAATAAAATGGAAGATAATTCGAATATGAACACTAAAAATACCATCCCAAATTCTGTGTAGTTTGTGAGAATACAAACAATACAATACAATTTTACTTATAAAAATTGGTCAAGATACTATCATACAAAAAAACACAAAGATAACGATCCTTATAATGCAATCACAACAAGAAAGAGAACAATAAAAACAGAGAAACTTAAAAAACAAAGAATAACCAAAGACCATAAAGTTTGTCATATGTTCAGTGAAAAGCTCTTTGATAAACCCAAAAAAAATCGACTCATTATCTTGGAAAAATTACTGTCTTCGATAATAAAATTAAAACGTTTATAATTAATAATAATTTTGGATTCAAAGATACTGTGATACTGATAAATTTATGAGTCATGTAGAAAGAATAGTTTTAGGTAAAATTCAAGAAGGATTAAATAAACAAAATGGTTTAAAAGTAAATTTTATTTTGCATTGTATACGTCCAAGAAAAATCAGTGGTGTAGAAACCATGGAATATAAAGACACTCACTTTAAAACAAAGAACGAAATAATATTGAAATTGACTGATCGAAATGATTACTATCTTAGAGTGAAAACGAAATTGACGAATGAAATGCAAGAGTTTCAAATCAAACAATCACAGTGGTGTCTTAAAATAATTATCGCCTTAGAATTGTGTATCAATAAATTTATACCTCTTAGACGTGCGTCATATATAGATCTCCCAAAATTTATTCAACTTAAACATGCCGTTATAAATGTGAAAAATGAGGACAATAAATGTTTTCTTTGGGCTATACTTTCTGCATTACATCCAGCTGAACGTGATCCTCAAAGAATTTCCAAGGATAAAACATAGGAACATGTGTTTAATAAAGAATTCAAAGATATTGAGTTTCCTGTAAAATTAACAGATATACATAAAATAGCTGAGAGATTGAATATTTCTATAAATGTATATTCTATTGATGAGTTCAAGACAGTAATTATTCCTCTTAAAATAACTAAAATAGAGAAGGAGAAACATATTGATTTGTTTTATCTAAAAGAGAAAAATAATGAGCATTATTACTAAATAAAAGATTTTTGGAAACTAGTAGGACATGCTCAGATTTCCAAAGATGGGCATACACGTTTTCTGTGTATAATGTGTTTAATCAGTCATAAAACACAAGATAAATTAAACGAGCACAAAATTTACTGCATGCATAATAAATGTGCTAAGGTAGTTTTACCTGAACCTCACAATAATATTGTTCAATTTTCTTATCATAATCATTCTTTAAAAGTACCCGTTTTAATTTACGCAGACTTTTAGTGTATGCTTGAAAAAATAGTGAATTGTCAACTTGCTAAAAGACTTTGTATATTAACCCATACCAAAACATACTACTATTAGTTTCGTATTCTATATAAAATACTCTGATGGGAGTTTTAAGAAATGTGAAGAATATTTTTGGTTAAACGCACCTAAGGTATTTGTTCAAAAAATAAAGGAGATAGCTCTTAATATTGCTCAGAATTATTTGGATGTAAAAGTTCCTATGAACAAGTTGACTAAAATTTTAAAAACGCAAACGCATGCCATATTTGCGAGAGAAATATGGAGGAAATGCCCCCACAATTATTACAGAGTATAGAAAAAATGAAAAAGATACTGAAAACTACAATGAAGAAGTATTAAAAAATAATATGAGAAAATTTTGGGATCATGATCATTAATTGGAAATTATAGGGGGACGGCACATTCTTACTGTAATTTAAACCATCAAATTCCTAGATTTATTTTCCATAACCTTGCAGGTTACGACGTAAATTTATTTATAAAAGGATTCAACGGTGATAATCAAAGAATAAACTTGATTCCAAATAATGAAGAAAAATATATATCTTTTTCAAATATTTTGAGCTATTAATCATCTGCTTGCATGAAAAATAAATGTTTGAACAAATTCTATAAAATAGTAAAAAAAATATTATCCGTGAGAATCAAATCGAGATAAGATTTTTAGATTTTTCAAATTCCTATCTTGTGGCCTAGATGAATTAGTCAATAATCTAGACAAAAATCAGTTTAAAGAGCTCGGAAAACATTTTCCAAGAGAACATCTAAATTTAATAACTAAGAAATTATCTTATCCTTATGAATATATGGATTGCATCGAAAAATATGGTGAAACATATCTACCACCTAAAGAGCTTTTCTATATTTCTCTTAAAAAAGAACATATAACAGAAGATGATTATAAAAATGCTCAAGAAGTTTGGGATACGTTTATTATACAAAATCTCAGAGAATTTACCGTGTTATATAACAAGATAGATGTGTTCTTATTAGACAATATCATTGAAAACTTTCACCATCTTTCTTTAGAAACCTATAAGCTAGGTAAGAAAAACTCCATGATAAATATTCAGATTTCTCCCTCGCTCCAAAAAATCAATTTGATGGTGTCACATTACCCAAACTCACTCTAAATTTATATGATAAAAAAAAATATGTCGTTCACTACATAACATTTCAAGAATATATTCGTAATGGCTTTACGATAGAGGAAATTCATAAAATTTTGGAGTTTGACCAATCTCCTTGGTTAAAACCTTACATCGATTTAAACACAAATCTCAGAACAAAAGCTAAAAATAATTTTGAAAAAGGTTTCTATAAACTGATGAATAACAGTGTTTTTGATAGAACAATGATGAACGTGAGAAATCATGTTGATCAGATTGGTTACAAATGATGTGAAATTGGAAAAATTAATTGCGAAACCAAATTTCGATAGAGCTACGGTTTTCACAGAAAATTTAGCTGCAATAAATATGAAAAAAATTTCGACTAAATTGTTTCAACCAATTTATGTTAGAATGACTATATTAGATATTTCTAAAAAATTGTATTTTGATGTATGATTTTTATTACAATATTTTGAAGGAGAAATACGACAAAAAAATAAGATTATTATACTGTGATACATATTCTTTAATAATAAAAGTATAAACCAATGATTTTATCGGGATATGAAGAATAACATAAACTATTACGATACATCCTATTATCCCTTGGATAATATTTATAATATCCCATTGGTAAACAAGAAATTTATAGGGAAATTTAAAGATGAGCTTAACGGTAAAATAATGGCTGAATTTATTGGTCTACGATCGAAATTATATTTCTTCACGGAACATAATACAGGAAAAGAAGTCAAAAAAACAAAAGGAATGAAAAAATCATTAGTTGATAAAGAAATATGTCACAATGATTTTAAAAAATGCTTGTCGACTGAAAAATCTCTAAGTGTTAAACAAAATATTTTTAGAACTAAAAAGCATGACATTTGTAGAATAGCGCAAAATAAAACAGCACCCAGTGTTCATGAGGATAAAAGATTTACGAGTATACTAGAAAATGGAATTGATACTTCAGCTTGGGGTCATTATAAAACAGAAATACTTAGAGAAAACTTCATTGACCATATTAATAATGTAATCAAAACTAACAACTCAAAAAATTAGAGAAAAAAAAACTAGGTGAAAAAGATCAGCAGATTAATTTTAAGTGAAAAAGATTAACAAATTAGTTTTAAGTGAAAAATATCAGCAAATGAATTTTAAGTGAAAAAGATCATCAAATTAGTTTTAAGTGAAAAAGATCAGCAAATTAGTTTTAAGTGAAAAATATCAGAATACGCTAGGATTAGTACTTATATACTACTTATATAATTATCTCACAAAATGACATTCAGTAAGTTAAATAAATTCAGTACAAATAAGGACTCTCAGAATATGTAATTAATCGCAAGGCACTATGTATGTAACGGTTCTTAGATGAACTGAAGAAAATAAAATCGATTATAATTTGTATTTAGATAGTCCAAGGCTTGTTGAAAACTATGACATGTATTTAAAAAGAAGAAGCAAGTATTCAAATAATTTAAACATTATTTTTTTTTTTTTTATCCATATTTAACTATCTACAGAGTTGTTATGTTTAAAATAAAGTATAAAAATCAAAATGTAAAATGTATAAAACTATTTTAACCAATTTATTTCAACCATTAACATTTTTTAAAAGATTTAAAATATGTTTTTATTTAAGTGTTATAAAGTCATTTTTAAATAATTTAGAGTTAATGTTAAAACTATGGGTGTATTATACATCTAGGAGCTTAAGAATTAGGATAAAGTAAACACTAAAAAAAAAAATTATACTGTAATTAAACAGCTTTGTAAGTATATTAAAAATTATAATAATATTTATTACTCATCAGTCTTTATTTTGACTCTTTTAAGTTGTAACAAACGATGCTGGGTTTGATAGACGGGAGAAATTGACCTGTAATAAGAGGGTTGCCGGTGATTTTCGAAATATATGTGTAACTGAGTGGACTGTAGGTATTATTTAGATATAATGGCATTGATGAAGGAAAGAAAACATATTCAGATGCCAAACAAAAAAGCGTATATTATAATAAACAGTTAAACCATAATTGGTGACGGGAAAGGGGGATTTAAAATTACATAAATTACTGCACTGATTTATAATTAATGCTAAAAGGTACAAACAACTAAAACTAATAAAATCTATGCTTACGGGCATGGATTGACAGGAAGTTTCCTGTGGAGCGACGGGGTGTGAAAGGCAATCAAATGCGAGTACAAAATAAAAAATAAAAGTTACGTTGTGGGACGAAACAAAAAAAAAGAGACTCGTTAACGTATGAAAAAAACATAGTGGGCCCCAAGAAAGAGACCCCACGATTTAAAATAGTATGGTTGCCTAAAGATTCGTGATAAGTTTTCCACCAAAGTAGATCTGCAGAATCTAGTCCACTAGCACTCTAAAGTGGGATTTATGAGTAGTTTTCTATGATCCGTCTCCACTTTCCGTTATTTTCATAAAGTTTCGGAAACATTTTTTCATTGACACTAAGTCACAAATTTACTCATTAGAACTTTTATTCAAGTACACATTATGTATCACACCCATGAGCTAAAGTTTTACGATTTGTTTACATGAAAAATTTTAATATGGGTGCCCGAAAAGAAATAATATTAAGTAAATTGTTTTTAATTTATATCACTTTAACAAAAAAAAAAAAAAAAATAAAATAACAAAAATGACATTGCAATATTTGTCAGAACATAATTTGATTTTTCACTAGGCTTCAATCTTGGGTATTTTTATTTTTAGTTGATATTTTAAAGATCATCACATGTACATCATATAATGATTTTATAAAAATATTTTGTATCTAAAAATCAATATTTTAAATTTGGTAATTTTAAAGTAATATACTACTATAATAAAATAGTAATTATTACTTACCTTGGTAGTTTATACTTACCTATATTTTGGTTTTTGAAATACTGTTTGTCAATTTAACTAAATACTCAATACCTAGTATGAAAGTCTTAATATATATTACTATACTAGATTTATGAAAAATCCTGTGACGTTTTTATGATTAATCATAGCAAGTAGAGCTGATTAATTTTAATTTCAAGTCATTTACACTTTCACTGTCAACTAATTTGTGTAAAATACGACTAAATATCATCGCATTTTCTTCAACAATATGCATATTTTCAATGTTAATTTTAAGTTACGAGTTATTACTAAGTTCATACATACAATACACTCAACACAATAGTCATGAGTTAATAATTATACGTTATGATAATCTCAATAATTGATAAAGTGATAAATCAGGGATGGAAAATGCATGGCACGTAAAGAAATTTTGAGGGTACACAAAAAATTTAAATATTTTTATCTTTAATCCTAAATCACATCACAATGTTAGCACTTTTTTACTATTATTTATACCTTTCAGAAAATTCAAGAACTATAAATTCGTTAAGAGCGTAGAAACATACTAAACATAACACAACACAATAATATTGTAATAATAATAGTATAATAATATATTATAGTAGCATCAGCAGTTTTGTCCATTTTTTCTTAAACTCATTCTTGCGAGTCATTGTCTTCAAAAATGAATTTTTTAAAATCTTATTTGATGTACCCACTAACTGATACATGTAGTACCGCGAGTATTTTATTAATAGTTAATGATTATAAATCAAATATCAACGAATTGACTATTCAACATAATAGCATTGATGATGAATTATTACCAAAATAACATAATTACGTTAAATTGTTGATTTTATATATATATATAACCATTGATTATATATTATATAATTAATGGTTATATATTTATTTAAAATAATATTTTTTATATTAGTACTTTAATAAAAAATATTTTCTTACGATATAATATATACAAACATAATTTTTAATAATATTTAAGAGCACACACACGAAGGAAAAATTAAAAAACCGGTCATTTTTGGCATATAGCTTCAAAATAATTTGCTACTCCTGTGATAGATACAGTCAATAGTTTATGACCGTCTAGCTGTGACGCTGTGTTGGTTGTACTTTAAGATGTGTATTGATTCACTTCGGTAAACCGTGTTACCATAGAACAGATAGAATATTAGGTAATAGAAATAATGACATCAGCAACCGTACATTTTACAGTATTTTGGTGGTACACAATCACCAAAATAACTAATAGAAGGGTGGTAGGATAAAAAAATCGTGAACATAGGGTTTTATTAAATATTGTAATAAAAATATATTGCGCGAAACAGTTGTACAAATAATAATACCAATAATAATACTCGACGAAACGGAATAAAAACGTTACTCGATGGAGTGGTATATAATAAAATGTAAATCGACAAAACAGAAAATACAATCGTCAAAATAGAAAACACGGACGTCAAATTCGATCAGCGGATCGGGGATGAGAGCGAGCAAAGCTCAGTCGAGCGGTCGCCGTGACTGTCGTCGTTCGAATATAGGTTAGGTTAAGTAAGGTTAGGTTTTTAATATGAATTTAAAATACAAGGAACTTATAAAATACATAAAATACAAATAATGTAGTAACAGTTGGTATCATGAGTTAGTGGGGCTACACATCGTATACCCACAGTATTATTGATATAGAATTTATCAGGCTCGCTAATACGCATGTGTGCTGTACTTCGGTGCTTCGTAAAATACTGTCTGTTAATCACTGATTGGGAATCACTTGTATTTAAAGATATTTAAAAGAGTTTAAAACAATTAAATAAAAACGTGACATTTAAATAAAAAATAAAAACAGAATTAAACAAGAAAAAAAATGAAGCATAACAATTCTGCCTATTTATATGAAATGTCTATTTCGTGTATGTGTTATTTAAAATTGTACGTATTTTCGTACTTGAATTCGATACGAACCTAATAACTATTTCGCTGTTAAATATATATTTCAGTTGCTATGTACCTATTTATAGTTATTCCGTGATTCGATATTTTATTTTCAGGAAAAGAAATGCTTTATACAAACCACGTAATTGAAGAACATTCTTATCAAATGTATTATGAATTAAAGTATGGTATGTTTTTCATCGTATTCTAATCACTTTAATCTTGTTTTTTTTAATTAGTACTGAAAGTTCAAAAATAAACAGTAAATGAATTTGATTGATATACACTCTGTAACGATTGTTTATTAACTCAAAGAACAATTTTTGTTTTGGTCATATACACATACTTTATTTAATTAAAATATTACATAATAATAATAACAATAATAATAATATTTTTTAATTATAATTATCATATTTAATACCGGACACAACATACATAAATAAAATGTTATACACATATAGTTAGTTAACCACTGTTAAAACAGGAGTTATTACGGATAAATCGTATTCCGCTGTGATCACTGTTCATATCCTGGCCTCTTCAGCTCAGCGGTCGGCATATGCCACAATCGTCATGCACCGGGCTTATTTCTATCCGTTGCGAATAGTAGCTCAGTATCAGCGCCTGAATCATTCGTACCCTATTTTCTCGTTTTCTTTCTTTAACTTCATGCTATGGTTTCTGCCCTAAATGTATACAATTCTTTCTTGAATGTCAGAAAGATTTGTTCACTTCTGTTATATTCTGTCCAGTGATTAACAATGTCATATTTAAACGGCCACCATCCATTCCCAGTACAAGTAGTAAGTCAGTCCGCTCTACTATCAATTTCATAGTGCCGAACGGCCGGCAAACCGATGCCTTGTGCACGCACAGGCGCGTGATACAACGAGTGGCGCTATCTCGTTACAACTCTTAATATAATTAATAATAAATGTAATCTATTAAATATTTTCAGTTTTTATGCCAGATCAATGTGAAACACTAGACACATATATTATGAAAATAAAGTCATTAAGTAAGTCTTTAAATAACTTTCTAGAACAAAACGCACTATCAGTGCAAGAGGGCCATTATCAATAATATTAAATTGTTCAGGAGAGCATTTCTAATGTTTGATAATTCATAGTAGTTTGTAATATTCTTCTGCTAAATATCAATATGACTATCTAGACCAGACATTTTCTTATATTATTGTTATTAACAAGTATAATTTAAAGGCCAAATTTCATATTAGGTATGGCTTAATTGTTTTCAGCTACCTCTCGATCTGTCTCAGTGCAATAAGTTTATTTATATAACTGACGATTTAAAAATATAATTATATAGATCACACCACTCTAAAAAAAAAAAAAATACGAATTTAGAGTTACCAAGAACGTAAATTTAAAATTTTTTGATATATAGCCCTCTTGCACTGATAGTGCGAATAAATAAATGTATAATATATTTATTAAATTTATTATTCAATAATAAGTACGGTTTTATTTTCAATATATTTAATTAAATACATTTGAAATGTCAAAAACATTTCTGTTTTAGGTTTGAACGAAAATCGAGAAAATATCATGAATTATTACATGGAAATAATGGAATGTAAATTTATTTTTTCATAGAATGATGTTTTATTTATTAAGTCATACATAAAAATATAATAATGGGATAAATATTGGATTACTTTAGTTTCTTGGTGAAGCCCGTTTGAATCAAATAATATATTGTTTAATTGTACACCGAGTTTCTTAGATTCTTACTAATAAATTTGCGTACCTATAGCTCCTAAAGTTCTCAATTATATTATTTGAATACATACTGTCTCTATAGGTAATAAGTATCTTAAATTTATCATTTATTTCAGTTTCTTAAAAGCTTTCAAGAAGTTTGCAAAATAATATTATAGATTTGCTTTTTAAACAATACCAGTCTAAATACTAACATTATTAATACTTTTAAAAAATTACAGAATCAACTATTAAACGTTCAAAATATAAACATTTTAAGTTATTTATTAATCTTAATAACACTAGGAATAATTAGTCATGGTATTTTCTTAAATTAAAAAAATAGTTTTTTAAAACAAAAACTAGAATATTTGTGTATAAATACCTATATGTGTTAATAATACAGTTATAATATATATATTAATATTATAATATGTAATTTTTAACTTATACACAAATATTTTTTACATAATCTTGAAGAGAAAAATATTTTCTAGTTTCATTTAAATCATATCTATTATTTTCGATGCACCGTAATTGCGCATGCATCGTGGTCATTTTGTAATATATCACCTAAACTCCGCATACAAGGTTTTTTATTTACACCTTAACTCCGCACATAATTTTAAAAAAAAACAATCAGTATTCTATAAGTTGGCCGTCATTATATAATTTTATGTTTTTATTTGTACTAATAACTAAAATCTAATAAACTAAAAAAATGTATAATAATAATAAAGACAATTTACAACAAACATCGTCGTCGTTCATATAAAATTAAATGGGAAAAAATAAATACCGATATCTGAAACCGAAATCGAAATCAGAAAAAAAAATTTCGGTTTCAAGCCCTGGTTTTTATACTCTTTATAGGTATTAAAATTTCAATAAAATTTAATAAAATTACAATCAAGACTATATTTTCTATTATCTTGTATTCCATTTGTAAACCTTAAGTATTAAACCTAAAAGTTTAATTCATTTGAACTATACGATGATGATACATTTGAATACATTTTGTCGAGTATAAAAATTTAAAATCTATGAGAACATGAACAATTGAAATATCTATACGTAATACAGAAAACGTGTAAATGCTTTCAAAATTATACCATCTTAATAGAATATTTATATAAACATTCAATACTATTTTAATATCTCAAAGATATTTAAGATCTCACTTCTTCGCGCTAAATTTAAATTCATCTCCAAACAATGCTACCGCAATTTTGTCTCACGTACCGAGTCCTCCCTATTACACAACCCAAAATACTTTTGGAGTTTTATTAGAAAAAACCGCTCTTCTCAACCTATACCTTCATGTGTTTCACTACATGGTAAACAAAGTACATCTCTTCCCGATTCTGCTAACCTTTTTGCTGCATATTTTTCCTCCGTGTTCACCCAGCCTTCACCGACTCCATCCCAAACATTACATCCTATCTACCTCTTTCCGCTCCCGTCTAATGCCTATTTTTCGATCAGTGACGTTTACAAATGCTTATGTTCCCTTCGCAATATTAAGTCTGTTGGTCCTGATGGTATTCAGGGTGATTTCTTATACAAACTTCGATCTCTTCTTGCAGAATCGTTATGGTTATTGTTTAGGCGTTCTATTGACTCGGGTATTTTTCCGTCTGCACTTAAACTTGGCTCTATTAGACCCATATTTAAGTCTGGTGATTCAACTGATGTTTCAAACTATCGTCCCATAACTATCCTCCCTCATTTATCCAAAATATTTGAAACGCTTGTTCTTAATTCGATTCGTTCTCCCTTGAATCATATCCTAATTGATGAGCAGCATGGCTTCCGTCCTGGTAGATCAACTATTACTTGTAACCTTAGTCTACATTCATATATATATGATTCTTTTCGCGATAACTGCCAAGTAGATGTAATCTACACAGATTTCTCCAAGGCTTTCGATCGTGTTGATCATAATCATCTTATGTCGACTCTAGACTCTATAGGAATCGGCGAACCACTACTTTCCTGGTTTCGCTCATACATTACAAATAGGATCCAATGGGTAACTGTTGATTCCACCTCTTCGGACCACTTTACCCCCTCCTCAGGTGTACCACAAGGTGCTGTTCTTTCTCCACTTCTGTTTGCCCTATTCGTAAACTCAGCTGACTCCGTCCTCCAGCATGCCAAACTCCTTATCTTTGCAGATGATATGAAAATCTTTTTTCGTATAAAATCCATCTCTGACTGTCAGCTTCTTCAAAACGACCTTCAGCGATTAGTTGCGTGGGGTGAATCTTTGGGACTAGCTCTTAATATAGCAAAATGTTCAGTAATGACTTTTTGTCGTATTAATGCTGTAATCGAGCATATTTACTCCGTAAACAATACTGCCTTAACAACCTGTAATAATTATGTAAAGGATTTAGGATTTACTCTCACACGGAACCTGTGCCCTAATATGCATATTCAGATAATATGTTGTAAAGCTCTTAAACTGCTAGGTTTCATAAACCATGTTTCTTCAGACTTCCACTTGCTCTCCCCTCTAAAAACTCTTTTCTGCTCCCTAGTCCGTCCCATTCTTGAGTATGGTTCCATCCTCTGGGACCCGTCCACCGCTTCCGCACGTAGCATGATAGAAAGGGTTCAAAGAAAATTCCTCCGTCAAGCTGCTTACAAACTAAAGATAGTCTATCCACCTCACGATTACACGCCAATCCAACGCCTCTTTTCCTTAGAAAGCCTCGCCGATCGTCGTCATTCAGCTAACTTGACATTTCTATTCAATCTTCTTTCATCTAAAATTGACTGTCCTGAATCACTATCCCGTGTCTCATTTAATATCCCCTCCCGCCGTACACGATCATCTGTTCCATTTCATATACCTTTCTCTTCCTCAAACTACTATCTTAACTCACCGATCATCCGCCTTATGCGCATTGCCAACTCTGACCCTTCATTCTCTCTCCAAAATTGAGCCTCGTTTCCATAAACAAAACTATTTTTATTATAATATTATATTCATGTATTAAAGGGTTCGTCCCGTATTGTAATATTAAATAAATAAATAAATAAATAATTGTTTTCCAAGTTTCGATAAAAATTTAAAAAATTATTCGATTTTAACGAAACCTGGTATCTCGTAAATGTTTTTCTTTTATAATTTTTCGTTAGTTTTCCTTAAATATTTGGAAAATTAAAAAATTACATTCTAAATAGTTCAATAAAACAAATTTTCTTGTCAGTAAAACAAAAATTTAAGAATGTATTAAGTACATAGTATTTTAAAGATGTATAATAGTAATTTTAAAAACATTATATGCTTGCATATGTCATACATTTAGGTAAATCGAATCCACAATTATGATTACTTACTTTTCACTCATACTATCATATCCGGATGGACCTGCTCCTAATGTCGCTACTTCAATATTAGTTTCAATATAATTATTTGGTGTGATTATTTCAGGAAAATTCATATTAGAACCAGTTTCTATGTTCTGAAAGATTTAATTTATTTTATTAAAAAATGATAATTAATAGAATAATTCTATTAAAAAAATCAAAATAAGTATTTAATAATAAATTGTATATTACTTGACTGTCGTTGTCATTTTTTTCGCGTTTTTTAGAAGTCAAGTTAGCTAAATTATGTTTTGGTTTTTTTTTTTGGAACAAATAACTTGCGCCGTGATTTTGTTCCAAAATGCCAATCTTTTCCCATTTTTAAAAAAATACTTTACACTGTTCAAATTTAAACTATTTTATGTATAACCACAACTGTTTACTAAACTGAACACCAAAAATCAAAATATTATAAAAGTGCACAAAATAGCAAATGAACGAGTCGCGGTAAATTTTTCTGTATCCGTTTTCGATTCCGCAATCGTTCAGTCAGGCACCGGCTAATGACGGTCATTATTACGATAACAAATACGATAACCGATTAACTTTAATAATTCTAAGAACAACCTCTACGCATGCACAAGTCACTGAATTTAGGTATTGAATTTTTTTCGTTTTCAAAATCGATACGTCAGAGTTAAAAGAGAAAGATTTATTTAGTTACTTCTAGTGACCCGATTTACATTTTGAAAATAGATTTGTATTCGTTAACCTTTTAGGTAGGTTATGTAGGAAAAATAATTGAGATTTTAGAACGGTTTGCATGTAAATTACATAAAAATAATTGTATGGGTTTTAAGAAGTGAAGAGTGTTTTTTAAGCCTCATTGAATAAATAAATTAAAAATGTTTCTTCTACATTACCTAGAAAAAGGAATGATGAATTCATACATATATTCAAAATTGAAATTGGACATCGGGAAGTACTAAAACTAATCTTTCTCTTATTGGTCTAAAGGCATATAAAATACAGCATGCTCCAACAGCCTTAACATTTTAATTTAAATTAAAACTAAATATTATTAAATGGTGCTTAACTTTTTACAAAATTATATCTATCAATTTGGCCGTCGTTATATAATTCTATGGTTTTATTTATAAATTCCATATTGGTTTTTTGTTTAGTTCTAATTATCCTACTTTTATTATTATTAGCAAAATTAATTCGTACGTAAGAATTCGTCTGCATAGCCAAGTTTTCAACGAAAACTGCAATATTTGAATATGTTGAAGTAAATAAATTACCAAATTTAGCACGAAAAGACTCACAATTTTATGCCATGCAGACTTTCGGTGTCAAAAATATTTTTAGAATGCGGAGCTATGGTACGTTGATTTTTTTGACCGTGTGGAACTACGGTGCATGCGGGGATGCGGATTTATAAAATAATTTTATTTGTGCAGAGCTACGGTCCATTATTCTTACTGTTATGAAGTTTGAGCTGTATAAAAAAATTGATTTTATGAGATGACACTTCTTTTCACAGAATCCTAGAAAAATAGAAAAACTGTGAATGTAACGAGCAGGCTCATAGAAAATGAAAGTTTTTTCGTATTTGTTGAACTTATAATTAATTAATTTTGTACATGATGATAAGATCAGTAATGAAATGAAAACATAAAATTGATTGGCTTTTAGATACACTAAGTGCTATTATTTCACCAGGAAATATTCAAGTTCATATAATTATCTTGTTAAGAATAATATTTTTTGAATTCCCGTTGATCGGTTTTCAGTTAGCTCAAGGGGTACCATATTTCTTATTAGTCTATTGCAATGGTTCTCAACCTTTTTTTGTTCACGGCACATCATTATACATTATAAGTTTTCGCGGCACACTCATGCACTTGACAACAACAAATACTTTGGCTATACGCTAAGATATCCAGTTGGGTTAGAACCGTACAATTTACCTATATATGTATCATCGTATCTGCACAATTAATTGACATTTAGTTGTCATAGTTTCATCAATTGGTATTCTCAAATATCAGATATTTTTCACGGCACACCTAGTTGATCTCGCGGCACAGTAGCGTGCCGCGGCATACCGGTTGAGAACCACTGATCTATTGTAACTCAAATAAGACTTGTGTTATCATGTACATCTTATATATTATATTGATATTTATATTATTATTAAAGAGTTGTACAATATTATAATTATTAATAATTTTAATTATTTTTATTGTAACATTATCGCGAATAATATTCACAAAAAATGTTTATTTTTTTACATGTATTATAATAAAAATAAAAACAGGTACTGTGTATAAAACATTTTACATGAAATCGTATTTATGTTATTGATAAATTGTTATGATTATTATTGTAGTATACGTATCGAATCAAATTCATAGTATTGTATTCTGTTACGGTATTTTAATAAAATACACTATGTTCAATACGTCAATACAACACTATGTTCATTAGACTACCAATGTGTGCAGACTGCTACATCCGAACGTTACAATCAAGTTTTTTTTTCCCTAACAAAAATGGATTCAAATGAATTTATACATAAACATTTGTGAAATGTTGTGATTTTGTTTTGCTATAAAAAAATTATTAAAAATAATAAAATTAAAATAACGAAATAAGTCCTTGAAAAAATAGAAACGCTACACCATCACAACCAATCCTGTTTCTCGACACTAAAACAAAGATAGAAGCCTCCACTATGAATTTATTCTAAATGATTCCGTCTCATATTTGGATGGTGCTTCTGCCTGAAAATCAAAATTAATTATTAATAATAATATTTAGTGGTTCTAAAATCGATGTTTCATGTATAAAATCAGTTGTAAACTCAACAAGTACGAAAGAAGTTTCACTTTCCACTGATGTAATCTTTAATCACTGACATAAAGTCTCTTTTTTTTTTTGTACTTAGCTTTATTTTTATTATACCGACGCCTCAGATCAAGACTGCAATAACTCAAATTATGAAACTTATAATTCTAGAATGAAATAAACGACCTCTAGAGATGAATATTGCAACTAAAAGTTATTGCGTTATAGAATCGCAATCGTCGTAATTTTACAAATAATATCATGTAGATAACTCAATCCTGAATATTTTTAAGTTAATGCTGTCTTGAATTAAGGCGTCGATATCTCAATAATAATTTTTTGAGTTATTGCAGTCTTGAACTGAGGTGACGATATATTCTACTGTTATCTAAGTTTCTTATTTTAAAATTAAATATTTAATGGATAAATCATGATTAATTATTTTTTTTTTTTTTAGTATATCCAAGGTTTTTTGAAAGTTATGAGGATTATTTACAACGTATAAATGAATCGATGAAACTTAGTAAGATGTTTATGATTTATTACATTATACAAAAAATATTTATTTGACATCATATAGTATAACAATCGTATAGTAATTTACTTATAGAAACAGGCAAATTCAGAACAATAGTAATAATAAATTGAGGTTGTTTAATCAATAGAAACTCTTGAAAAAATCACAGATATTTGTTTATTTGAAATGTTTACATTTCATTAGAATTTTCCCTTAGAAAACTAACAACAAAAATATTCTAATCACAAATATCAACAATAATTTCTTAAATATTCTGTTATTGTAATAACTCTATGTATTTATAATAGACTCTATTTTTATAAAAACAATAGCAAATCATTTCATGAAAATTTTTTATGAATTTTCGAAACTACTTTTAAAAAGTAAAAACTTAAAACTTAAACTTTTCTAACTACTAGAATCTACCAAATCACTGTAAGAACCCATCAAATGTGCCCTATGTGCACAATCGCACACAGGCTTATTTAAAGAATATCCGATACTTAAAAAACTTATGGTAAACTACAGAAATTATGAATGTAATTATTCTATAAATACACTAGAAATAACGGTGAACATTTTATAGTTTTATTCGATTTTAAAAAAATAAATTAAACAAAATACAAGCTTAATTATTCTTCAAAACTAATCAACTTATTTGGTTTTTAGTTCATCTTAAATTGAATGAAACAGAGTTCCATCTGTATTTCTCATGTGAGTTGTTTAAACCATTAATTATATAATTCATTACTTACATGCGCAAATTATTACACAAATATTATTAGTTGACTAATTGTCTTAAGTCAACAATAATCATTGGCACTGTATTTAAAAAATATACTAATACAAACATTTTTTAATCAGTCGAATCCTGTTTTTATATTATACAAATTTTAAATTTATCCGTACTCGAGGTCTACATTTTAAAATATAAATTAATTATTTTTAGATAATTTATATTTTGCTGCACATTTTTACTCTGTTGTATAGTAGGAACTTGAAAATAGTAAATTAAATTTCGTGTTAGTATATATTAAAACAATTAGGTCATCGTGTAAGAGCATAGAAAGAAGAAAAAATGTCATCCAAAATATGCATTTTAATTAGTGTTCAGGCACGCCATAATTTTAAAAATGCGCGCCAAACGCGTGTCATTTGCGCCATGAGTTTCCCGAAGCTTCGAGAAGTTTCGTGGCGCACCCTCTCCCACATGCCTCGTCAAAAGAGAACCGGTTCGGCCAACGAGCGCCGCCTTTGTGGCGAGTGTTCTATTTGCCTTTTCTTGCCTCGCGCGGAAACAGCAGTTCTATTCGTTCGTGTGCGTCGTCGAGTGACTCTCGTTGTGTGAGCCTCAGCGTGGTGCCTTGCGCGTTGGCGTACGCTAGTGGCAGTGTTATTTTTTTTATTCAAGTTTAACGCAGTTAGTGCTTCCTTTTTCTTGTGATCCGCCATCGATCACGAAGTTGTACCCGGGACCTATTCCCGTTTGTCCCTGCCATTGCGGATCGTCCGTATATTTGAGTTCCCGTCACTCGTGTCGAGTTACATTTAGTGGTGTGAAATGATTTGAGTTGTACAATAATTGTACAACTCAAATAATTATTAATTGAATATAATACAAATTTTGTATTGAACTCCAGCACCAGAGAGCATTTAGTAATTTTATAATATCAAAAATCGATTATAGACTATATATATATATATATATATATATATATATTACGCGTACTTTGAAAGTTTTTATTTGTTTTAGCGTATCCGAGACCTTTTGAATCTTATCACATCTACGTGCACAGAATGAGAGGTAAATTGTTTACATTTTCATTTTTATTCAATAAATAAAATTGAACTTATTTTAGACTAACATTAGTTTGTAAATATCTCATTAAGGTAGACGCGGAGGGGAGGGGTTCAATTTCCCGCAACCATACATTTTTTTTTTAATTTAAACTAAAATTCCTATAAATATTGTTTTACAGACAAAAAATATTTATAAAAATATTTTTTATATAAATTAAAAAATTTAATTAAATTATTTTGTCTCGTAATTTCTAAACAAATAATTTATAATTTTTAAACTTTAAATTTGTTATTATATCCGATTATTATTATTCTTGTTATCCGACTGGTATCGTCAAAAATCTTGAACAATACTGTTAAAAAGTTTTCAGACCAAGGAATCCATGGTATAGAATGTATTCTTTAATTATAATAATTGCATCTTAATACTTAATAAAAAGTAATTCGATAAAATATGATTAAAATGTATGTATATATATCAGTGGCGTAGCCAGGATTTTTTTTCGGGGGGGGCTGATCAATTTTTTACACAGCGGTGGTTTAGTAATATACAATAAATTATTTTACCTGTATTATTTATTAAAAAAAAAAAACAATAAAAATAGTAATCAATTTTCTTTTCAATTTTACATTTTTTTTACAATTTAGTATACTAACATTTTATATAATAAAACAAACTCGAATTTAATAAACATGAATATAATGTGATGAATAAAAATAAATTAACAATATTTATTTACAAACAATTAAAGTGACAATTTTAATCTTCGAGCCTTTCCACTGTTAGCAAATTTGTCCAATATTTGATCATCTGAAATGTCAATATCTCTATGAATGGATAGTAGTGCGAGTCTGACAAGTCTTGACTCTGTAGTTGAATTTCTAAGGTAAGTTTTTAATCTTCTCAAAGAAGAAAAACTCCTTTCTGCAGTAGCAGTCGATACAGGTAGTACTGATATTAACTTTAGGAGTTGATACATGTTTGGAAACATATTGCTGTCACAGTTGGTTAAGGTTTCAATTGCATTTAATGGTCTGAACTTTGGTCCAACTGTTTTCCACTTAGACTGCCATAATTTAAATTCAGCTTCAATAATATCTTGATAACCTGGTAAATCGTCTTCATAAAATTGAACAGCGGGTTTTAAACACGAAAATGGCTTATCAACAGTCAAAGACGGCAACACATACTGTAATGACTTTATAGTATCTTTATGTGAAAGAAAACGTTGTTTTAGTGAGCAAAGTAAATCGTCTAAATATGGAATAAATACTGTACGTCTGTAAAATTCTTCAATATCTTTAAAAGGCACATTATTTCGATTTTTTTGTCTACCACTAATACGTGGCATAGTTTCATTAACATTTAACGAAACTGAAATACTTTTTACTCCCTCATAAATTTCATGAAACTCGACATTTGAATTTTCTCTAATATCTTGAAGTTTCTTGGAGATTTTGGATACACTTTCAAATGCGTTTACTAAATCTATATTCTTAGTTTGTAAATACTCAGATAAATTGTAAGTATAACTCAATAATTTATTTGAAACATAGATAGCTACTAATAAATTAAAATTGCAGATATTATTCAAAAGACTATGTGTTCGTTTTATTGATTCCTTATTTTTTGAATCATTTTCAATTTGCTCTAAAGCAGAAACTATTGGCTGCAAAAATTCTTTAAAAATCATTATAGCCTCGTGACGCAAAACCCATCTAGTTTCGCACAGTGATTTAAGTTTATGTGCCTGAGTTTTTGGATTAATTTCTAAAACTTTTTCTTTTAAAATTTGGGTTCTTTTTGCGGAGTAGTGAAAAAATGAACAACATTCTGATACAATTCCAAAAGCATTTCGAATATCTTGAGCTTTAGAAGCTTCAGACAAACAAAGATTCAAAGAATGCGATATGCAATGAGTGTATAACGCTTTAGGATATTTTTTTCTCACAATTGCCTGTACACCATTAAAAGCACCCGACATGGTTGCCGCCCCATCATAGCCTTGACCACGCATTTTTTCTAAATTTAAACCAAGGTTTTTTAATGTTTCTAGTAAAGTATTAGCTATACCTTCTCCTGTTACATCCTGAACAGGAATAAATGCTAAAAAGTTTTCCCGAACTATCATTGATTCTTCATCTAGGTATCTTATGCATACTGAAAATTGTTCGATTTGACTAATATCAATTGTCTCGTCGGCGAGAACAGAAAAAAAACTGGATTTTGATATTTGTTTAACTATTTCAGATTGAATTATTTCTCCAAAAATAGTAATTAATTCATTTTGGATTTGAGGACTTGTATACATAGCATTCAAATCACTAATTTCTAGATGCTCTTTTAAAATTATATCACCATTATTGGCTCTAAATCGTAGGAGACAACGAAAATTTCCATCATTTTCAGTAGGTTCATTCATTTCAATTCGTCCAGAGTCTGTATGCCCTCTTAATGCAATCTGTTGCCTTCCGCACAATCAAATAGTCTGAATAATAGGTTTCAAAGATGAACGATTTTTTAAAATATCTTGCTTTTTCTTAGTATTTAATTGCATATATACATTATCCTGTTCCTTGTTATGAATTTTAATTACATTATCGGCATTTAACATTGCAGTTTTATGGAAATTTAAGTTGGCATGATTTTTTAATGATTCTAATGCATCTTTTAATTTAATAAGAGGTTTGGTTACAAGTTTGCCCAGTTTTACGTGAGAACCTTTACCAACATTTGTTTGTAACAAGAAAAGTACACAATACATACAAAAAGCCCCTTCTTTCAGTTTTGAATAAGCTAACCAATTAAATGTGTTAAGCCATTTCAACTGAAAAGTACGTTTAAACTTGCCATTATCTTGAGCTGGAAATTTATAATTTACATCAGGCACCCATAAATTATGTAAAATTAAAATTTTTTCTGTATTGGTTAGAGGTTTTGAACAATTTATATAAAGACCAATATCATATTTAGAATCAGATTCTGTCTGTAACTCTGATTTATCAATTTGTTTTTTTTCTTCAAAAACTACAATATTCTGTGTTTTATCATTTTCTTCAATGATAGGGTCACTGCAGTTTGACTAATATAAAAAAATATTTATTTATTTTCATAATTGGATTAAGTGGTTTAATATTTATAGGTATGCATTTATTTTGGAAAATATTATAAAGTCATGAACAATATTATAAATATTATGTTATAAAGTCGACGCGACACGACGGCGAAGTATGAAGTCTTAAAAATGTATTAAAATTAATTTTAAAACCATATATACAGTTCAGTAATTTGTTTTTTTTCATAATATTTATATGAACCTACAACGTATCTTCTAATACAAATTAAACATTTTACTTACATTTTTTGTTTTTTTTGTGAAAAAATTCAAAAAAGTTTGATTTTTTCTTTTCTCTGCCATTTTTTGTGAGTTAGATTGAAAAATTTAAATCCTGTACAGTAACCACGTTGCATAACCAAAATATCAAAATGGCAAAATAATACGTTCTGCATTCACTGCGATACTGCCCGACTGCCGGTTTATAATATTTTCCGACGCCCGTTTGTGTATATTTATTATTTATACCCCTATTACATTATACGATTAGTGTAAAGTCGTAAAGATAAGAACAGTCGTCGCCCGTCGGGTGTCTTGTCACTAATCGCTTACAAATAATTATTTATAGATTTTATCATGAAACCGACCTATGCATAATGTTATATAAGTAATAATATATGCATTAAATACCTACTAGCACGGCCGAAGCTGTAGAAAACTAACAAAATAAAGATGACAATTTAAAATTAGTAAAATACAATTTAAAACTTTTTGAGCGAATATTATAGACCATTAAAATAATTTTTAAATTTTCGGGGGAGGGGCTGCAGCCCCCTCAGCCCCCCCCCCCCCCACCCCCACTGATATATATATATATAATATATACCATATAATTATTTATTTTAATATATGTAAAGAAAATGAAGTGTATAAAATATATATTTAATGTGAATTAAATCTATTTTTATCTATTTGTCATCGTCCCACATTGAATCATTGATCAATGTATGCATTGTGATTAATATACAGTTATTTAATTTTTAATTGTGTTCAATAATTATCGAAAATGCATTAATACTCAACATCAAATTTTTTATGAAAGCAAATATAATTGATATCATTATGTTTAGACCAAGAGTACGTGTTAACTAAAAATCAATTTAATAATTATCGAAAAAGTAAGTTATTTAGACTTTAGAATTCAAATATAAAAATCAATTCTTTTTTTGCTTCAGATTGCCCTCAATAGTAACTATACCAGGGACTGGAAGCAAACCGAAAATAACTGGGTTATCCGGGATTATGCTGATCTATATTATTTTACCGGGATTATTAATACAAACCAAAACATAGACCATTATCATTAATATTAATATTTTTACAACCATAACTCAAACTTTACTGAAAATTCAATTCAATTTTTAAAGGTTATTTTCGGTTATTATATCAAAAAATTTGTATACATATTAATTTATTTAGGAATATAACTAAGCCATTATTTATAATAATTTATTAACAAATTAAAATTATAGGTATTCATGTTAAATTTATTACAATGAAATAATTTTAAAAATATTTTTTTAGTCTATTCACGCATACCTGAAAATATAGAATCATATGTTGCAAGATTAGAGACACTTGGTAAATTATTTTTATCAATAATTATTTAAATCTATATTTTCATACGTAAAGGAATAAAAATAATGAAAAATAGTTTTTAAATTGAAAAATAACTAAAAATAAATCGTAGGTACTTAATTAAATGTATATTCTTCTTCATCTACTGATATTTATTACTTTTAAGAGTTTTCGCTGCCATCACAATCTACCTCCTACTAATTTAAATGATTATAAATATTAATAATTGCAATGATAAGAACATTACATTTTTATTTTTTTTTTGCTCTTCAAATATTATACATTGGCACTCATTATTAACCAAATATTGTTCAAAATATTTGTTTTCTATAAATAAATATACTGAATTTTGTTTAAGAGTAACATACTCTTAGTCTCCCTTTTTTGTCAAAAATGTGTATTACATAATATATAAATATATATACATAATTATTCTATTTTTGATTTTTGGAAAATGTACGTATAATTAATGACTATATTTTCCAATAAGTAATTGTATAGGATACTATCAAGGAGTATTTAGTGGCAATATCAACTTTTGTTTTTCAAATTTAAACTGCAATTTTCTTACGCAAATAATTCTAATGATTTTTTATGTACCATTATCTATACTTGGAATAGTAAATTTAATATTATTTAAATTTATAATAGCATATGAAAAATATGAAATATTTTAAAATTAGAATAACTAATAACCTCACTAATTTAAGTAGTGAACACTGATTTACACTATTTTTACTACCGTACTTTGAAAATTTATCAGACTATCATTTATCAAATTTATGTTCAAAACATAATTTAATTTTATTTGAACTTCCTTAAAATAATACATGATACCCATTTACTGTACACAACTGAGCGCGCATATGTCCATATAAAAACTTACAGTACTGGAATAATGTATCATATTCTAATGATGTTTCTCAAAACAAAAGCATTTTTATGTTTTAAATATGAAAAATATTTTAGTTATCCGTACAAATCTTACCAAAACGGAAATTATACAAATATTATGAACGTTATCTATAACGAATCTGAAGGAACTAAGAGATTTCTTTCGTTATAGTGAGTTTTCATAACAGAGAGAGTTTTAAAAAAAAAATGTAATTATTTATGTATAAAGGTATATGTATTGTTATTTATCATTATTTTTATATTACATAAGAAGTTAATTACATATTTTTTATTATATTAATTATATTATAATTATTATATTAAATTATTATACGTACATATTATACAATTATTTGAAATAGTAGGTCATTTTTATTTGAACTTGTTTACTCTGCCAATATTTACGTTCACCGTTTTTGCAGGATACAAAAATTATGGTTTTTCAGAAACCATGATCAAATATTTTAAATATAGTGAGTACTTATATTCAATTATAACATATTGTTGAATTCTAATTACTTTATATATAGTATCATTTATTACACAATATAAATATGTAATATTATATTATAAACATACATCTACTATTTACGGTACCCGCTTTTGTACAAGTGTCGATAATTTTTTTTCGATGTCATAATAATTAGTAACATTCAAGCCATAAATCAATTGCTCGAAAGCTAACATTAATCCCTCTTTTTTATTTTCAATATTTTGTTCACAGCCTGGATAAATTTGAGTACTTAAATTGTCGCTATAATATAACCATAGTGGATTTATTACCATAATATGTAATAAGATAATGCCACGCTAAACACGATCTACAATCATTCATATAGTATGTTTTAACTGAATCTTGTACACCACTTACATATTTTTTAATAAAACATATTAAATCGTATTTGTAATCGAATATATTTATATGAATGTAGAAATTATGGGAATTATACGAATAAAAATAAATATTCTGTGAAGTAATATAATTTATATACACATTTACATGAGTAAATAGGGCAGTATTAAGTTTTCTCCTCTCTGTGTCTCTCTCTTTCTCTCCTTCTCTCATGCTATTATACTTAAATGATTTTGATAAAAATAGTGCTCTCGAGCCATAGTTTCTAGAAATCAATACTATTGAGTAACTGGTTTTGATGGATGGCCATAGCTCTATCCACAGAAATCCTGGCTATTGTTGCGTGCGGTCAGTTTAACCGTTAAGATGAGGATGTGATACGATAATTCCAATAAAAGTACTCAAACTAAGTTAAACTGTTTATTGAAATATTTCTAAGTACATATTATTTAATTAAATTGACAATTAAACTGGCGTGAAGGTACTCGGTAATCGGACTAAAATACGTCTAAATATTGGTCTGTTCGCAATCCCCTTATATATTCAGGTTTTGTGGAGATCAATTGTGCCGTACTATGTAAAAGTTGTTCTTGATTATTACAAATATATAAGATTTATTACTTTAGTGACCTCGTTAATATTATTATTTGCACTTATCCCCTATTTTACAATTATTAATTTATTATATGTGGTCCTGCAATTATTTTAATGATTCCTTTTTATATAATTTCCTTATTTCTACTATTAAAGATTTATGAGGTCTCCCTATGTCGTGTTTGTCGTAAGGACCTACCTTTACGTATGTCCGTAATACTATAATAATCTGATCGACTGTATTGTCCGCAGGAGTTCTAAGACTCGGTCATCTAATGCTGTTGACCATTGTTGTGCAGTAGTTTGAAATAAATATAATATTTTAAATTTTGCATTAGTTCGAAAAATGTAAAACATTTTTTGCCGACGGTCCCTGCAACACGATTGTGCTCCGCCAAATACGAAATATGTGTTTCTTTTTTAACTATTTTATTTCTTAATTTTACAGACTCATACTTTACTGGCAACAATATACAATTCTTAAAAAATGCTTAATATTATGAGATTATGAGATACGTACAGAGCCGCCATTCATATTAGTAATAGTGCCAAACATTTTTTCGGGGTTCTATAATTTAAATATTATTTGCGTTATTTCATACAAATACATAAGACTATAAATAAAAACTATTACATTTATTACGTTCATGACTTTGGCCCATCTATGTACTGCATTTATTTTTTTAATCTACGCCATAATTGTGCAAATTATTTGCAAATATTTTAAAGTCAATTTTAAAAATTTTCAATTCAAAAATATGTACTCCAAGCCAAATAATATTTAAGTGGGGCCAACATTATATATCCCAACCGTTTTGACCTAGAACTTTGAAATCCTCACCTAAAAAAAGCTAATAACTAATAAGAATCAGCTAGTTTATTGTTAAAATGTATAATTCAGATGGCTGATTTAAGCTTTTGAACTTGTAACGTTGACCATACCAATACATTAATATTATTTATATTATTATTTGTTACTTTAATATATACATTAATATACGTATAGTATAATTTCTAATTACTTAGTGATTTCCTAATATTTGCTTAATTATTATCTTTCTTATGATACCTATTTCGAAAATTCCGGTCAAAAAATCACGCCAAATACACAACTACAAAACTTAGCTGAAATACTTACACATTTTTAAAAAGGGATTAGCGAATTCTTTGAAATAAAAATATATTATTTGGAACCATTTTCAAAGTTTTAGGAAAATTTGGGTGAGCTAACTTTGAAAGCTCTTACTAGCGACCTGGTTCAATTGAAAATTCTAAAAGTGGATTTGCAAATACTTTTAAATAACTTGCAAAATAATGTTATGGATTTAAAAAAAATTGAAATTATATAAAACATATTTTTGGAATAAGTATTATATTATATTATTATTTATTACTTTTTACACGTTTTTTAATAATAAAAATATTCGTAGACTGGAAATTATCATTTATCATCAATACACAATGCTATACAAATAAAAAAAAAATTTCAAAATAATTTCTTTGTATGTAGATACATTATATATACTCGTATTATTCATCGAGCCTATCGTAATATTCTAAATCAGGGATTTTCAAACTTGTATTAATACTGTACCCCTTTTTATCAATAAACTTTCATGAGTAACCCATCTTATTTAGTAAACTAAAATAAATATAAAATAATTTAAAAACTTACTCATGTTTTTATTTCATTAAAAACTAATACACAAAAAATTTTAAAAACAAAAAGAGCTTACTTTCAAAGAAATAAGTGAGAAGGGTGAACTTGTTTTTGTTGGTACAGTTGATCAACATTGGGTTCTAATTTAGTAAAATACAATCTTAAATCATCATCAACATTTAATTTGTTTTTATATTAACATAAGTTAAAATTGAATAACCTTTACCACATAAGTAATTTAAATTTAAAGGTTTGTTGGCTAGATTCGTACCCCTTCAAAAATCTTCAGTACCCCAAGGGGTACGCATATCACAGTTTGAAAACTATTGTTCTAAATAATCATAACATTTTTTTTTAAATCAGTTACTATGTAATAAAATGTAGGTAAACAATTAATGGCACGCAGGGCACTATGAAATGTGACACCCAGAGCATATGCCCGAACAGGGCGAACAGCCATCCTTTAAGGGCGGTCCTGATATGTACACACAATACACACAAAACACTGTTTAAAAATGTTAGCAGATGGCATAGAATTGGTAATGTTTACGAATACAATGTAATAAACTATGGATTATATGTTCGTCATAGGGAATTTTAAATTTATATTATGTTTGGAAATATCAAAACAAATCACGATCAACTGTAGCCGACTCAAATGTAAAATCTGACTATGACTGTATGGAAAACTGATAATTATAGACAAAATAAATTAATTTTGATTACTTGAATACCTATCAATGTATATTCATTTTATTAAACAACCTGTTACTATTATCATTGATTATAAAATAAGTTTATTTTAAATAAGTTAATCATATAATTAATATTATGATATAGCTCATACAATATTGGTCTTGATAATTGTAAGTCTTTACATAAAAAATATACATTTATTTAAAAAAGAAAAAAAAATAATCAATGTTTATCATACTATGAAGTAATATTTTTAAATAATATTTTGAATAATTGTTAAAAGGTTAACACTTATATTTTATGGGGCACAATAGTGTCATAGCCGGAAAACAGAAACGTAGCCGTTACATTTGGTCAAAAATTTGAGGATTTATATAACATCTAAGAAATTAATTATATATATAGTAAGCATTTATTGTAGATATGTTTATCATTGCGGTTAAGGCTTTGTACTTAAGTGTCAACAGAGAACCGTAATCTATTGAGTATAGTAATTATATAATAATTTTCATACAATTTAGACCAGGAATTGGAACCATTTGAATTTATCGGTATTGGTTCCGGTACTGGTTCTCAGAAAATAAAATTACTGTTCCGGTTCTATGATGACAATTAATAAAGGTACCGGTTCCAGATAATTCGGTACCAATTCCTGTTATCAGTAAAATATAATATTATTTTTTATTGATGAGAAAAAAAATAGTGAATATACTATAATATACCATCGTCCACTTGTTAGTGTAGTATAGTACCTAGTAAATGAAAAATTATTTTAATATATATTGCTGACAATTGGTGGCGTAGCCAGGATTTTTAAATTTGGGGGGGGGCTAACCACTTTTTTTGATAAGTAAGGTAAGAGAGGATATGAGAATTCACCCTAAACCCCCCCCCACCATCTACCACCAAGTTTCTAAACGTAATTCAAGCATTTTAGTATAGTTTTAAAAATATTTATTAATATACAATTTATAATAATAATAATAATTTTGGTTTCAGTGTTCAGTCACTTGCTCTACTTTGACAGCTGCATCTTTTAGGCGAATTTCTGGCAAATTCATTTATTATTTTACTTTCATCGAATTGCTCTTTTTTATTTATATTAAAATAGTTAACCCATTCAGTCTGTTTTCCGACTTGGTGCTTCTTAAAAAAATTTTTAAGCGATTAAGTGCTGAAAACGTTCTTTCCGGAGTGAAAGAGGTAACTGGTAACGTGGCGAATAATTGTAAAAGTATTTTAATGTTAGGTCGAAGATTGGTGCGATGAGAAAGTGAATCAAAAGCAGAATTCGGTTTTGGAATAGTATTTTGACTCTATTGTTGCCTCCATATGAACAGGTCAGCTCTGATTGTAGATGAGGTATCATCATGGAGACTTGGACTTATATTTTAGTAGCTTTTATAATATTTTTATCGTCATACATAATTAAATTGGCCGGAATAAATCCTTCAAGTGGCATAACATCAATAAGCCTTTGATTAAAACGAGCATCCATTGATTCTATTAAATTGTCAAGATACATTATACATATAAACACGGCCCATGGGGGGCTACAGCCCCCTTAGCCCCCACCCCCCCGGCTACGCCACTGCTGACAATCAACATTACCCCCTATAAAATACGCAAAACAGTACCTATAATATTATAATACTGTTATAAATGATAAA